AAGATAATTATTAAATATAACATTTTCAACTCTGGCTGATGAAGGGCTATTAGCCCGAAACATGTACTGGACTCAAAATATAACTTTTAAAAACCCTCTACACAGTGTTTTGAAGTCTGTTGCTGGGGATTCTCTTTTTTGATATTTTTCACGGATTGGTTCCTGCTCCTCCCCGGATGCATCACTGAGATCCAGACTTGCCTGCACTGTTCTAGGGAATCTTCCGCCCTACTTAATTATTGAGTGTTGGGGGTTTTATCGTCCTCTACTTGGATTTTCTAAATATAACAATGGATAAATGAGGCTTTGTTTTTTTATCGTACTGACTTTAGTAATGATGATCGAGGCTAGCCTAAAATTCAAAAGCTAATTATATATCTCGGTTTCGAGTAGAGCAATTTGACTGAAATTTTCAGCATATTCTATCTACGTTGTCTATTTTTTAAACTATCATAGCGAGAACTGGCAACTCTTTATCTAATCTCCCATAATGCCCCTTTAAGTTTTAATCATTGTTATATTGGAATGACAAAACTGTTCTCACTTCCAAATATTATGGATTTTTTGTGCTGTTAGTTTTGTTATGTTTTGTAGGCAGAAATGAAGAGCTCTTGATGACAACAAGATATTATCCATGTGTCATTTGACATTTATAGAAAAATACAATTTCACTTCAAGAATTGAAAAATGGTTTAGAGAATGAGAAGGCTCAAATCGTGCATAAAAAGACTTCATCAACCAAAACAATTTTTTGTCCCTGGCATCCAAATCCCTCGGCAGAACTTGCCTACTAAATATGTCAATTTTATAAACGCAGGCATTGTTGGACCATTTCCATTGAGTCTTAACAGCAAGCATAATTTATAAATATTTAAACATACATTATGCAAGAGCTAAATCTGTCTATTACGGGTCTTTCTTTAGGCCTGAAATGTTATCTAAATTATTAATTAGACATTAATTAACCTATCCAGACTATAATCAACTCTAGATGGCATCGCAAGCCTATGATCTTTAGTGGATTGTGAGCCGATTTACTGCATAACTTTCCTTCACGATTAAATGGATAATTAATTAAGTAATACAGTTGATGTTTTGGTTCTGATAAAACTGCAATAATTATTTTTTAATATATTACAATGAGAATATGTTCTACAAGCATCATGTTGAAATGCTTGGTTATATTTATAACTTGTAAACAAAGTAGTTACACAGTTGACTTCGTTGACTATATTCTCAACTTTAGTGCAATTTATATAATAATTACAATTAAAGAAAGGTACAGGGTATAAAGTCCACCCACTCAGTAAAAAGTCTGCAAGGAACCTCATGCCATTGTAATTGAAAAATATTAGCAATGTAATTGACCATTACATGCTGTTTGGAATGTAATTGATTACATGGCAATAACTTCAAAACATGTAATGATTCCATTACCATTAATTACCCCTGCCCATAATAGAAGAGTAGGTCAATTTGCAGGACTTGAAATCATGTGATAGGGGAGATAAGTCTGTTTGAATTGTAATTCTCAACAGGCCACAGATCACTAAATATTTGCCCATTGACTTAAATGTTAATTTTCGTCTCTTAGACCGGCTCTAACTTTTTCCCAAATTTTCGTTGGGTAGAACGCTTTCTACCACAGATGGAGCAACATGTGGCAACCTCTTGCCCAAAAGCACGTATGAGGTTCACCATGGAAAACTTGAGATACACAAGCTGGAAGTAGAGACAAGAAAACATGCAATTTTGGACCCTACATTTCAACCTAACCAACCTCTCAACTCTTGTATCCTTCCGCCTCAAAATCATGAATATTCACCAAAACTTGGTAGAAAATGTATTTTCAAACCATTTTCTTCAATTCTACACCAAAAAGTCAACAAAAATCGCCATCCAAAAGGGGGGAAAAAGGGAAAGAAAGACTAAAAATAACTTTCGCCCTACATTCGTGGGTGACAGCGTAGAAATATTTGGTGAGCTGTGTCCTATATAGGGGTGAAACTTCGGAAATCACCAAAAAGTCTTTTTTATATGCTTCCCATATGTTCTGGTAACATACCGGTGAAAGGAAATCAAAATCAAAGAATAACTGCGAAAATGATGGCCCTTTAAGTATACATGCTGCTTTATGTACAGTAGTGCATCTCAGGTCCATGGGCCCTTTGTGTTAAAATTTAAAAAAATCTTTCTTATTAAAGGCAGTATTTGAGTTCTGTGAAAAAATTAGACAAGTTACAAACAAATTACACAGAAAACACTCATAAGCTGGATTTTTTTTCAAAAATATAATTTTTTACTGCCGATTTTTTTTCAAAAATATAATTTTTTACTGCCATGTCATGAAAAATGTACAAAATTCACATGTAGCATCTTTAAAAAAACCCAATTATTTACCACTTTTTAGATAGCCAGACGGGAAAGGGATATATTTTTAGAAACCCTGGCCAATATACAAACAGAAAAATCACAAATCAGCTACATTGATTGTAATATTAGAGATTATACTGAAACATGTATCCCCACCCCTTAAATATGTCACTGACTGAATGAATCTAATCTTTGGTTGCAGAAGTAACATCACCAAAGCAATCTGTCTAATAGCTATGTTTTACCATCCCTGGCTAACATATGTACATATAAACTAAAATATGTGCAATAAATATGAATTATGGTTAAAAATAGGCCTTGATGAAAGAAAAAAATGCCATATTTGGTCTATGACCACCCCTCTCTAACAAAAAGGTCACAGAATACACAATTTTCAACAAATTTGGGAAAATTTCAATGTTTTCAACATCACAAGGCTCAGAGGCATCATACAAATCTTTATTGCAATTCTTGTGCTGAAGCAAGATGTCTGGACCTTTACATCAATTGCCTGAAAAAATGAAGTCCAAAAAGTAGTTATGACAGAGTTGACAAGATGAAGGAGGCCTGAAAAGGAGCAATATTAACATTTCACTGTTCTATAAGTAACATAAATGCAACAAACACCACACATCCTAGACTTTGATAAGAAAATATTGAAAATTAAGCTGAAATTTACACATCTGCACCATTTTTATATTAGGGTGTGGTCTCATTGGCCTGTCATGTCTCTGGGTTCTAAGTTTGACTTTAAACAAAAAGGCTTAGAAATCTTTGAAATTTACAAAATAGCTATTTATTAGTGAAAAATAACATTCCTAGCTGTAATTCAACCACAAATTCCAATTACTATCATTTAATTGTCAACACAGGTGCAATTAAATCTCTCAAATCACATTAATAAAAAAGGGTGGGGTGGGGCATTTATAGCCTCTCCTAAGGAAATGGCGGAGTTAAAAATGGCTAGAAAGACTGGAATATTGCTTTCTACGTGAAGGAAATGCAAGAATTTAATGTTACAAAGAAGAAAAAAATGCTTGTTCTGGGTAAAACAGTAGCAAAATTGAGCCAACCCCTGTTTTGAACATTTTGTACAAACCCATCTGCTGTATATTATTAACTCAGTTTTACCAATTTTCAATTTTCTGTAGGAAAGCTGGGGCTATTTCTAAACCTGATAAACTTGTAGATCCCATCTAAGTTATATTAGCAATGAAAATCGAGGCATTTTAGACATTTTGACTCATTTGAGTAGTCATGAAAGGATTAATTTCTACATTGAAATTGGGGGAATCCAAAGATTTTCTGTGAAAATTCCTGATTTTTAGACAAAATTTGGTGAAATTACAATACTGTTCACTGTATCTGTGCTTTCTGAGGTTGAATAAGCCAAAATTGGGCAATAAAACATTTTTCTTACTATTAGAAATTAAATAAAAACTGAAAATTGAGAAATTTGCAGTAAAATCACAATTTTTCTTCAAATTTTGATTTTTTTTTTTTAAATTTAACTTTTTTTAGTTTTTCAGTAGTCAAAATATTTTATTCATATTTTCTGAGAGTTTGATCTTCATATGTTCAAAACTAAGGCATATCAGTCTCAGCCTGTCACACATAGACAGGCCACAGATCACTAAATATTTGCCCATTGACTTTAATGTTAATTCTCGTCTCTTAGACCAGCTCTAACTTTTTCCCAAATTTTCGTTGGGTAGAACGCTTTCTACCACAGATGGAGCAACATGTGGCAACCTCTTGCCCAAAAGCACGTATGAGGTTCACCATGGAAAACTTGAGATACACACGCTGGAAGTAGAGACAAGAAAACATGCAATTTTGGACCCTACATTTCAACCTAACCAACCTCTCAACTCTTGTATCCTTCCGCCTCAAAATCAAGAATATTCACCAAAACCTGGTAGAAAATGTATTTTCAAACCATTTTCTTCGAGTCTACACCAAAAAGTCAACAAAAATCGCCATGCAGAAGGGGGGAAAAAGGGAAAGGGAGAGAAAGACTAAAAATAACTTTCGCCCTACATTCGTGGGTGACCGCGTAGAAATATTTGGTGAGCTGTGTCCAACAGTGATGTACATGACTAGACCAAATTCTTTTAGTCTTATCATCCAGAAAAATATTCTAAGAGAAGTAACTAGTCCTAAAACAAGATGTTGACGCCCATGAAATTAATTCAAGAATGCCATTTCAAAAAATCCATTTGATTGCATGCCAGTTCAATATCCAACACTCTTACCTTTTTTTTTGTTGTAAAATTTCTCTCTTCATGGGTCATATCTATGCTTTTTAAATTAATCCTAATTCGTCATCACAATTCATATTAATGCAAGAATTATGAGATTTATTGCGGGAAGGGGCTCAACCATTACTTGACTTGGCCAGAAGAGACTGGATAATCAACCACATTAAAAACCAAAATCCCAGTTACGCATGGGCAATGGACGTTTCTTCAAATATTGACAATGGTCCCAGACCCTCTGTACGTTGAAGACTAGGAGGTTCTGGGTGACCGAGACTAAAATTCTTTGAGAGATCATGTCTCCTGACAATTTCTTAAAAACTGAAATAGTTTTGTAAACAATAAAATAGGAAACAAATATTTAAAAATTTAGTTTTACTGCTAAGCAAAGAGTTAAAAAAAATAAAAAAATACAACATATTTACATGTAAAATGCCCTTTAAAGTAAGAAATATCAGTTTGATGTTTCTGTGACATGCAATTGACATAAAGTCAAAATTTATAGTAAGCCATCTGAATTTTTGGCAAAAAAAAGGAGATTCATAACATTATTTAGCTGTCTCAAAGCACAAGAATATTGATGTCCACAACCATACGCATGTTCACTGACCAGATATGTCCACAGGTTTATTGTCAAAGTCAATATTTTTACAACACACTGTCATTCAACTGTAGTACTCCAAGACTGGGAGAGATATTACAACTGTAAGAATCATCTAATGATGGAAGAGTATCATCTAATGTCGGCAAGGTCTCATCAATATATGGGATGTCTACCTCTAACATTGCTGGACTGCTTAAATCTTCTTCGTTAAATCTTGGCTCTTCTTCTGTGAAAAAATAAATGAGTAAAAAAAATTGGTTACCTATTATTGTATAAACAATTTGCTATCCATAAACAAGGGATGAATACCCATGACTTGCAGAGATAACAGGCCACCCAGTCCCCCTCCCATTAGAACATAGAAGGATGTGGACAATGAGCATTGTTTCCAATTTATTCATCACTTGAAAAAATATGATTAAAGATGCATTATTTAAGATTTAGATACATGTAAGTTCAAAAATAGATAATGCAAAATGAATAGCCTATGTTGAAAATTTCATTCAAATTACTTTATTCTGAACAACATTATCACCGTTATCGCTTAGCCTTGCTTCCCCATTTTCAAATTAGATCATTAAAATTTCATGATGACTGTGTTTTAATCTCTGCCTTTTGATAATCTAGAGAGTTGATTATAGGCTTGTCATGTGAATAAATGCCTAAATAATGGTATATAACAGAACTTCAAAGCCAAAATAAAGACCTACAATAGGCAGATTCAGCTCTTACATAACGCATCTTTAATTCATGTGTTTTTGACAGATTTAAACATCCTCATCTCTTATACATAGCATGAAGAATAAAACACAAAAAAATGCATAGAGAGAAAGTGATTTTTCCAGAAATCAGTTTGTTCGATAAAAGGTCCGCCTTACAACTTGATTGATAGGTATTAGAAATGTGGCAACGTCCACAAGAACCAGGTGATTTGGGCACAATATATGCTGATAATTTATTTCATAAAAGGCCCATAATTCCATAATAAAAGGTAAATTTAGATAACTATCCAAAGACCTCTTTTTAAATGATTATTGGCCATCTGGTAAATTCAGTAAATGAAGACATCCAGAGTACAAGGAAAAAACAGACGAGTTTCTCACACAACATTAGACATTGCCAAATGATACAACTATTGAATTGAACTTGAACTGCATAGATAGATGAACTGAAAACTTTTTCTATTCTTGAAAGAAAGCAAACATGGTCAAAGACTTTCATTAAATAAAAAAAAAATAAAATATTTAGCCTCTTGTTTCCCTTACCAAATGGCTCAATTCCTGCCAAAGCATCCAAGTTATCAAACAATGCTTCTCTTCTTTCTTTTCTTTGTCTTTCTTCATCTTCCTCATCATCATCGTCACTTACTGGTGGAATACCAAATAAACATGGGGGTCGCCAACTGATGAGTTTATTTAAATAGTTTGATACTCTTTCTTCTTGTGGTGGATATCTGTCATCTGCAAAAAATAGAAAGCAATATTGCTGCATAAAATTTAAGAAAGTGACTAATTAGAAGACAAAAATCATTTTGATCCAGATTGTCCAGTTTGAAATGACTTCAATTGCCTCAGGTACAGTACAATTCAAGGTTAAGTACTAAATTCAGACTGTTCATGCACGTACATTCAATACATCCATATCTGGTGTGAAATAGGTTTATTTATCATGCGATTGCACCACAGTGATATCTAGTCAAATATCAGCTAATACGGCATGCAAAAAAAAGATTGCCAATTTAAAATTAATGTGGTTATACATGCAGATTTTACTGGCTTATAATGAATTAGTAAAATAGACAGAATTATGCCTGTACCGATACATTACTTCATTAATATGTTCAATATTTTTAGGACTTGCATCGATCGACTATTTCAAACTTATTCAAATTATGAAAAATTAAAAAATGTGCACACATAGATGCTGGTCTTACCATGGGCATAAGTTTTATCCATTAATATAGCTATTCCCATTTTGACAACTAAGTTACACAATGCATTGTAAATCAGTAAATTACACCTCAAGTAATATATTTTCGGGTTTAAATCACAAATGAATTAAAAGCCTCCTGCTGTTTTTAAGCATACATCGGTAGAAGTCACGGTCAACCTTGCTGAATACATGCACAATAACATGTATCAGTCGGATAATATCTTGATGACCTTTTCATTTCGGCACCAAAGATTCTGAGTCAATGCATACTGTCAATCAAGTATCCAAATTACATAAATTTCTACATGCCATCAAAAGGAATCGATAGTTGACTAAAATAGAAGCCCCTTTAACAACAAATTGTTACCATGTGTAGTCTTTTATTGTAAATTGTCAGTAAGTAATCATTACCCAAAATTGGTGACCTCATTATTACAGAACAATTACAATTGGTACGCCATGTCTGCTATATCAGTTTATTATCAGTTTAGTGGAAGCTGATGTTAAAGAACCAACTTCAATGGTACACGAAGGGGCAATGTAAGACATGATATTTTTTATCCAGATACCGGTAACTGAAACGATTTGACATGTTGATCTGTTTTGCAGTGTGGGGAATGGGGAATCTGTATCTTAAAGTTAAAGCCAGAATACGAAACTGAAATAAGTAAACAATCTTACAGCTTCTATCCAATCTTTCTACATGCACATGACATTTAATTTCGGGGAAATAAAGTATATATTGAACGTTGGTTGCTGAATCATCAGTTCAATTGAGACACTGTTAAATTAAATATCGGGGAGAGAAAATATCTTCCTAGCATTAAGGCTGCTTCTTTATTTTCTACAAATATCATTAAATTCTTGTTCATATTATAAACTGATAATAAATCAGTACATGAAAAGTCTCCTGCATCTTTTATGACATCCACATGCAAATTGCTACTTTCTAAATATGTTTATTGACAATTGTCCTCCATTTTCAGAAAATATCAGAATTCACGAAAAGTGGTTTAATTGTCTGCTTGTCGGATTAATCGATGACATCGAAAATTGTTATGTGTGTGTGCTTTGTGGTACGATTCAGTGAGAACTGCCAGCTCGTTATCTAATCTTCCATGATCTTTAACTCTGTATGAATATCCTATTCTTTCTCAGAGATGGTTAATAACATCTTATTTACCTTTAACATCTTCTGGTGGGTGCATAAATTCAATGTCATCACATTCTATCTTTCTCTGTTTACTTTCAATTTTCATAGAAACAGGTGCCAACACTTGCTTAGGTTTCTTAATATTTTCTTTCTATAAAAAGTTAAAGGTGAAAAGTCAAGTTATATGAATGATGATTGGTGATATTCAAATTATGACCAGTTGAAAACAATGCCCCCCCCCATTCTTTTTTGAAAATAACATTAAATCACCTTTTTTCAGATTGGTAGTAAACAACCAGTAAATCCTATGCTAATAGCAGAGAATATACTATCCTAATTTTCCATTTTCTCGAAGTAATGGAATTACTAGATCAATCAAATAAATGTATAAATACTGTAAGCTTACCTCTTGAATATTGCCCGATTTAAAAGAAACATTCTTTTTGGATTTAATGGAACTCTTCTGTAAATTCAACGTAGGTTTCACACAAACTGGTTTTAACGACTGGCCTGGTTTTAACGACTGGCCTTTTATAGTGTGAGGTGTCTGTTGACTGTTTAAAATATCACCTAGAGTTTTTCTTGGTGTCATGAATGCAGAAACATTGGTATTCTGGATGGATTTAACACCTAAAATATTAACCATTTTTATCAAAAGGGGGACATGCAAAATATGTCCACATTTTCCAAGAGATGGCCAGAAAGAAAGCAGGCAAAATTGATAGGGCTCATCCTCTCATGGTCCCAATGGCAATGCTTCACATTGAATTTGAAAAAAAATTGATAGAAACTGTAGCCTATATGTGACCTGTCATGGAATAATGAATCGCAATGAGGAAATTTAGAAAATTGAGTTATTGTTATTTTCACATTCTTCGACTCATTGCCGTCAATTTGATGTAAAGTTTGTTTGAATGAGGCAAAAATTGACTGAGCTGTGTCCATTTGAAGCTACCCAACTCACAAAAGTATGTTTTGAGAAAAAGCAAGTCAAAGATTTGGTATGTTCCAAAACAAAATCCCATATCAACCAGGCCATTTATTTGCTGTTTACTGTTTTGTCGTTAAATATATATTTCCAGGGGTTTTCAGGTGCTGAAGACGATATCGTAGTAAAAATTTGATCCGACGATTTCCGCCATTTATTTGCTATTTTGTCATTTAAACTCCACACACAGACAAAGGTGATCGGATGTCCGGATATACGTAGGGCACAACATAATACTTCCACACTCCACAGACATGTGGGTATTTAAAAATTATTCTATAATCTTTTGGCAAGACATAAATTTTAGAATAAAATAATATACTGTACATGTAAGCAGCATAATACACGGATAAAACAAAGCTTCTGTTATTCCACACCTGTTAGCTGCTATAATATATTCTAGGTCAAATGTCAGATCCAAACTCCACATTACAACTAGAGTAATGTTGGATAGACAAGGACCATTTAAACAACAATATACATGTACTCATCCTTACAATTTGTCCCCAGTTTGATCGGGTGAGTTTTAATAATGATATAGTTACATGTACTTCAACTTGTATAACTCAGAGACATTACCAGTACTAATGATTTCTGTCAGATAGAGGCGATGAGGAACTATGTATACATATGTAATATAATACATTCACATTTTTGACTATACACATGAAAATGTTGTCATTTAAAAAGTGGAAAAAGCATTATGAGTGTCCACAAGGTATGTGATTTTTTTTACAATCACTCAATCTGAGGCAATAATCCAATTTGATATATTACGATCAGATACATGTAATAGTAAGTGACAAAAATCGATCTCTTCCTTGATCTTTGGGATGAGTAATTGTTTCAAAAAAATCGGATAAAACAATTTACATACATGTACCTGCAGAGGGACCATAACAAACAAATGTAAAATGATGTCACATGCAGACATGGGGAACGATATAATACATGTATGTCCAGATGAAAATGTGGGCAGTTGGATTGTTGGCATCTATAGTGTTACTAACACGGTTAGTGTAAACATTATAAACCACATAAAAATGAAAGTATTGTCTAACTTCAATTTGACTATATGTCAAACAGTAAAACTTTTACAGGCACTTACGATTTTGAAGAATTGAGGTACTCCCGAGGGCTTGTCTATTTCCTTTAGCTCTGTTGGTAGTAATGAAACCTTCAACATTTTCTTTATCCCGATTTTGAAATTGTAAGGCTGCCATTCTGTCTATTACAGAGTTATCTAACCTGCAAAGAATTCATTCAACTATAGAAAGATATTCAACCAAATTACACCACCATCATTTAAAACTTAAAATCTAGGGTTACAATAAGAAAACCTGATGAAATTTTACAAGAAGGTTGTCATTATTTGAAGTTAGATAATGAAGGCCAACCCAAAAATTCAAATGATAAAGATTTTAGGAATATCATTCTTTATAGTAGGCTAATTATACAACAATTAAAACTGATGCTGTATAAATTATATCACTGTCCAAAGTTTGCACATTTCCACCCAATAATACTAACCTATACTACCACATACATGTATTATGGTACCTCATTATTGTGCAAAACTGAATGAATACTTCAGTTAGGTATGTAAGCAGTTGCCATGCATGATACACCAACATTTTGCAAGAGATGGACAGAGAACACGCTAAAAAAAACCAAGCCAACAGTGAGGCTGATGTCCCCTGCCGAAATCCTCAAATAAATAGATGACACATATTAATAATTAATTAAACACACATCTATTTTTTTCAAAAGTATCAAGCAATCAAACTGATTATCAACTATACACTAAGTTTCATCACTCTCTATCAGATAGAATCAAAGTTATCTTGTCCCAAAGCATCGACCAAGGAAATTGCTTATCAAGGTATTGATGTAATGAAACTATACACCAAGTTTCATCACTCTTACTTAACTAGAACTAAAGTTATCGTGTCCCAAAGCATCAACCAATCAAATTGCTTATCTCGGCTTACCCTAGACAGAAAATGCTCATCTTAGCACTCCATCAAGGCATTGACCTCATAAAAAAAATAAACACCTACACCTAGTTTGTACATTCTAGCTCGATTAGTAGAGTTATTGTGTTCCAAAGTCTCGGCCAATCAAATTGCTTATCGCTCTGCTTACCCTGAGCAGAAAATGCTCATCATCGAACTTAGTCAAGGTATTGATGTAATGAAACTATACACCAAGTTTCATCACTCTCACTTAATTAGAACTAAAGTTATCGTGTCCCAAAGCATCAACCAATCAAATTGCCTATCTCTGCTTACCCTAAGCAGAAAATGCTCATCTTCGAACTCCATCAAGGCATTGATCTAAAAAGTGTGACGGACAGACAAAAAATTGAAACTGAATGAGTGACTTTTTGCAAATGATGTCAGAATTGTTTAAAGAAATGATTGTATAAATGACTTAAAGTAGCTAAGTCTCTAACTCAATATCATCCAAAGTCTTACACATTGAAAACACAAATTATTTGTCAATTCAAATCAACATTGAATCATTGATGTTGTGATCTTACTGGGAAATGGTAGGCTTCTGACATCCAATATTTAAGACCGTTTAGCAGCAAAAAGTTGCCCAGTGAGATTGACTGGGGCGGATCTCAGTTTCGTCAAGGATTCAATAGAACAGAAGAGTTTCTGAACGTACAGGCCGAGTAAAATAAGACCTACGTTCAGAGCTGAACTACATGAACAGTAGCATCCAATCAGAGGTTGTGACACTGTGACCTCCACGGAAACCTTGACATTGAACTAACCTTGAACTTTGCAACTCTATTATCAGAGGTAGTACTAGAAGACATTTTAGCTGGAAAGCGCGAGACTTGGAAACTTGGTATTTGCGATGATCGAGGAATCTGATAGGCTCACAAGCTGCCTGTGAATACCCAATCGAAATTAGTGCCGAAATATGCAGGGTATTGCGTGAAGGCCTTGATAAGATCATCTATGTAGTTAAAGCGAGATCAAGCTTTCTATTTGAAGATGGAACTTGAGATGAAGTTGAAGACGCCACAATTTGCACAAACATTGCAAATAAATGCCTGTGAACAGTGAAGTCTGTGAAGTGTGTTTTCTATAGCTACGAGAACGTAGCTAAAAACGTTGAGATATATGTGTTTGTTTTTAGCTACGATTGGGTGCCTTTAGTTCCAAGTGGCAAACTCAATTTCTTTATGAAAGTAGCTAAATCTTTAACTCAATATCATCCAAAATCTTCAACATTGAAAACACGATTTATTTGTCAAATTAAATCAACATTCATGTTGTGATCTTACCGTAAAAAGATGGGCTTTTGATATCCAATATTCAAGACAAAATAAACATTTTACCATTGGTACACGAATCGTGTACCATAGTGCGTTTCAGCCCCAGTTGTATCAAGAGACTCGAGGGACGAGGCTAGACACATTGCACCAAATCAAACGGCGTATGTAGACTGGAATAACCAGACGCTAGAAATTTAACTCGCTTGAGACTGCTGGCTTATTTCGCCGAACATAACTGATTTGAAATTAGAGTAAAAACGGAAACCATTGTCATTGAATGTAAATAAGTTTATATACATTCATATTACAGTATTAGATGCGTTGCGACCCACTTTTGTCAATTTCTAGGTCCCAAATGTTAGAGATTTAGCCCCTTTAATGCATGTAACATCTTTAAAATAAGATAAGTTTATGCTATTATGATTAATTAAACTTACAGAGGCCAATGTAGTGGCACAACTGTCGCCTAACTCCAAATATTCGCGTTTAAATTAATGAAGCGTTGTTTTTGTCTGACGTTCACCGCCATCGAAATCCATTCAAAGTTACAGTGCTTTAGATTGCCCTTTTGATTGGCTGTTATAAAAGCCTTATATTTAGCCCCGCCTTCATGATGACAGCGTATCGTTTAAAAAGATGGCGGTCTTAGTAACAGCTTAACGCCTCGATTTTAAAAACAACGATTTGTTCCCGTTTCAGGTAGGATCATCCATGATTAGGCTATATGCTTATATTGTAGTTGGGTCTGGCAGAAATATTAAAATAACAATAATCAATTGTTGTTTTTATTAAAAATATTGTCAATTTTGTTTACAAATGCCGGGTGTGAATCGCTCCCGCATGTGCTACCTTGAAGGTAATGGCCTCATGTCTTATCTCGAAACACGGAGGGTTGAGAGATTACTGTGTGAACCATCGTAAATTTTAAACGGATTTCTTCGATTATGAACAAACTACTTAACTTTGGTTATTATAAACTTACCTGTGTGTTTGTAATGAACTCCCGTTCGATAAAATCCATTGCACAACTAATTATCACAACGATGAGAACAAGTTCTCTCTTGAAAAATTTGAAAATTTACTTGTAATTTCGACAGAGTCGATGTCAACAATGTCTTCGTGACGTATTGGTCGAATCCAATATACCTGTTGCGGGGGTTGGTTAACATTGAAAAATAATTTGACATTGCGATCATTTTGATCGTATATGGGTTTGGGCGACGAAAAATATCAATTGAAGGCAATTACATAGGAGATTTATATGGAAACCATTGATCGCCAGTCTATCAAATTTTCTTCACAATTAAAATATCACTGATTGCACGGATACTCGTAAAAATAAAGTCATGTATAAACTATAAATATCCTATCTTCTTTATGTTATAAATAATTTAACAAGGATCATGAAGCTTACCTCCGAATTATCTGAGTGTATTTTTAATTTTATACGCATTCTTTCGATCGAATAATAACCACTTCAGTAACATCTTTAAGCATGTTGCGGCAGCCCTCAGCGTGTCTATTGGGTGCCCGGGTGGGTATATAATGCTACTAAGCCCGTATGACCCCGTAAGAAGCGGAACATTAATTCTCGATTCGACAGTTTTGACCGAAGTGTGATAAAGCCCGTAAAACGAATGTATAGTTGTGTTTGTGCGGCATGCGTGTTCAAAAGTAAATAATCCCATCCGAGTCGCTAATCAAATAATTAGAACAAAATATTTTAAAAAGTAAAGCTATAAAATTTGCAGAGATTTTACTAGAGTGTAAAAGACGGTAACTAAATACAGGAATGCGGGTAGTTATGTGTGCGAAGGCTCAAACTCAATGCCAATTGTCGTAGGTATCCAGACCACTCGGACCAAAGACTACCTGGACTAAGACCAGTCGGACCAAAACAAAACCAGTCGGACCAATTAAATTATATTATAAGGCTAGACAATATGCTATTTATTTATTATTAAATCACAATACAAAGAAGTAAATAATTCTTATACGGAATTCTTATATTTAGAGTTGTTTAGTTCAATTTTGTGTACGGAAAATAAATCAACGATTAGTTTTAAAATTAATTAATAATGGTGCCAAAAAAAATATCAATCTAATTTTTCTTATTTACTCTTGCAATGAGACTCGGTATGTCCAGACTTTTGACAGTTTCTACATATACGGGTATACTGTTCTTGTCTGATAGCCTAATTTTACTTTTTCCACATTCGCGGTATCGCCAGTGGTTTCATTCCGTTCTACCCCACTAACCCCTGGGTTACTATATATGGGGGAGGAGACACGTTTTCAAGTTATCCGCCCTTGATGCGTTAATATAAACAGCACATAATAATACGAAGACCGGACATTTATATGCCCCTTTTTAAACGTGACTACAAGTGTGGTTCTCGATATTTTGCGATTTGGAATACAATTATCAATTTATTCAAACAACACGTTATTATTAGTTCGAGTTGTCATATTAAAACACACACAATTAGCAATTTATTCAAATAACACTTTATTATTGGTTCGAGTAGTCATATTAAAATAAACACAATTATCAATTTATTAAAATAACACTTTATTATTGGATCTAGTAATCATATTAAAACAAACGCAATTATCAATTTATTAAAACAACACTTTATTATTGGTCCGAGTCGTCTTTCTGTTGGGTCCGAATAGTCTTTTTGTATGGTCCGAATAGTCTTTTTGTATGGTCCGAGTAGTCTATTTGTTTGGGCTGAGTGGTCTATCAGTTGGTCCGACTGGTCTTGAACCGAGTGGTCTTTGGTCCGAGTGGTCATGGATTCTTGTCGTAATTGTACTTGAATTTCCTATGCTGTCACCCCTAATACGAAATGATATCTTCCGCAGAGTGACGTAACCATCTTCCATATTGGTATTTTTCTCTGGGAAAAGTTTGTGATATTTCAATTTTTTAAGAGAGAACTTGTTTTCATCGTTGTGATAATTAGTTGTGCAATGGATTTTATCGAACGGGAGTTCAGTACAAACACACAGGTAAGTTTATAATAACCAAAGTTAAGTAGTTTGTTCATAATCGAAGAAATCCGTTTAAAATTTACCAAGACTCAGACAGTAACTTGAGTAAGGTTTGTTTAGCCTACTGTCTAAGTCTTGGTAAATTTTAAACGGATTTCTTTGATTATGAACAAACTACTGGAATATGGAAGATGGTTACGTCACTCTGCAGAAGATATCATTTCGTATTAGGGGTGACAGAAATTCAAGTACAATTACGACAAGAATCCATGACCACTCGGACCAAAGACCACTCGGTTCAAGACCAGTCGGACCAACTGATAGACCACTCAGCCCAAACAAATAGACTACTCGGACCATACAAATAGACTATTCGGACCCAACAGAAAGACGACTCGGACCAATAATAAAGTGTTGTTTTAATAAATTGATAATTGCGTTTGTTTTAATATGATTACTCGAACCAATAATAAAGTGTTATTTTAATAAATTGATAATTGTGTTTATTTTAATATGACTACTCGAACCAATAATAAAGGGTTATTTGAATAAATTGCTAATTGTGTGTGTTTTAATATGACTACTCGAACTAATAATAACGTGTTGTTTGAATAAATTGATAATTGTATTCCAAATCGCAAAATATCGAGAACCACACTTGTAGTCACGTTTAAAAAGGGGCATATAAACGTCCGGTCTTCGAATTATTATGTGCTGTTTATATTAACGCATCAAGGGCGGATAACTTGAAAACGTGTCTCCCCCCCCCCCCCATATATAGTAACCCAGGGGTTAGTGGGGTAGAACGGAATGAAACCACTGGGGATACCGCGAATGTGGAAAAAGTAAAATTAGGCTATCAGACAAGAACAGTATACCCGTATATGTAGAAACTGTCAAAAGTCTGGACATACCGAGTCTCATTGCAAGAGTAAAGAAAAATTAGATTGATATTTTTTTTTGGCACCATTATTAATTAATTTTAAAACTAATCGTTGATTTATTTTCCGTACACAAAATTGAACCAAACAACTCTAAATATAAGAATTCCGTATAAGAATTATTTGCTTCTTTGTATTGTGATTTAATAATAAATAAATAGCATATTGTCTAGCCTTATAATATAATTTAATTGGTCCGACTGGTCTTGTTTTGGTCCGACTGGTCTTAGTCCGAGTAGTCTTTGGTCCGAGTGGTCTGGATACCTACGACAATTGGCATTGAGTTTGAGCCTTCGCACACATAACTACCCGCATTCCTGTATTTAGTTACCGTCTTTTACACTCTAGTAAAATCTCTGCAAATTTTATAGCTTTACTTTTTAAAATATTTTGTTCTAATTATTTGATTAGCGACTCGGATGGGATTATTTACTTTTGAACACGCATGCCGCACAAACACAACTATACATTCGTTTTACGGGCTTTATCACACTTCGGTCAAAACTGTCGAATCGAGAATTAATGTTCCGCTTCTTACGGGGTCATACGGGCTTAGTAGCATTATATACCCACCCGGGCACCCAATAGACACGCTGAGGGCTGCCGCAACATGCTTAAAGATGTTACTGAAGTGGTTATTATTCGATCGAAAGAATGCGTATAAAATTAAAAATACACTCAGATAATTCGGAGGTAAGCTTCATGATCCTTGTTAAATTATTTATAACATAAAGAAGATAGGATATTTATAGTTTATACATGACTTTATTTTTACGAGTATCCGTGCAATCAGTGATATTTTAATTGTGAAGAAAATTTGATAGACTGGCGATCAATGGTTTCCATATAAATCTCCTATGTAATTGCCTTCAATTGATATTTTTCGTCGCCCAAACCCATATACGATCAAAATGATCGCAATGTCAAATTATTTTTCAATGTTAACCAACCCCCGCAACAGGTATATTGGATTCGACCAATACGTCACGAAGACATTGTTGACATCGACTCTGTCGAAATTACAAGTAAATTTTCAAATTTTTCAAGAGAGAACTTGTTCTCATCGTTGTGATAATTAGTTGTGCAATGGATTTTATCGAACGGGAGTTCATTACAAACACACAGGTAAGTTTATAATAACCAAAGTTAAGTAGTTTGTTCATAATCGAAGAAATCCGTTTCAAATTTACGATGGTTCACACAGTAGTAATAGTATGTCCTATGTTTTCTATTGCACTGTAACTGTGCACGTCAATGTGTATGGATGCAACTACGTCCGTGAAACGGCAGCATCGTAGTGTTATCATTTTAACATATATATTTAAACTTATATACTAGTAGTAGTACCTCTAGTTGTATATTATTTCAGTCTGAAACTGTAGACCTGAACTTCCTGAAGACTGAGAAAATGATTTTTCTTGTTTGTCAATTTAGTTCAAAGTCCCCGCTTCCGGTTAATTCTAGCCAATCAAAAAACGACAAGAAAATATAATCAAAGGGAAGCCACTCACGCAGCACAATCGATTTTTGACGAAATAAGGTACTTTTGGTCTAACTGGTGGCAAAATTGTTCGAAGAAGTTAGCATAATTTCAATTCTAAAAACGTGATCATTTTGCCACAACACGTCCTATCGACATTGATCTCTCCGCCAGATTCACACGTTCGTAATACTAACAGACATACAGACAGGCGTCATTGCAGGATATTCGATTCTCAGCCCAGCCAGGCACGTGCTCGGTAATTTTAATTTGCGACAATCATTTACTCGATTTGACAGCGCTCTGTAATTTACAGTAATTAGTAAACATATGAGGTGATTTAAACTTAAGTAATCAGGGTTAGGGTTTGCATATATTTAAGTTAAAAAAGGGAGTGACAATAAACATGAATGCCTTTTTTTCTTGTGGAGGAACTGAGCCCCTTTTTATTTTTTTTAGCCTTATAAACAAAATTCATCGGACTGAAACGAAATGAGGACTTGAAAAAAAAAAAACAACAAAAAAACAAACAATCCCGGTAAAATTTGCAATTTATAAAACCATTCAATATGCAATAAATTGGACTAAACAATATTTCTCTGTCACTTGTGTAAATAATTAGGTTTGAAATTGTCATTTCCCCAAACAACCCAAAACAAACAGCCCCTTTTTATTTTTTTTAGCCTTATAAACAAAATTCATCGGACTGAAACGAAATGAGGACTTGAAAAAAAAAAAACAACAAAAAAACAAACAATCCCGGTAAAATTTGCAATTTATAAAACCATTCAATATGCAATAAATTGGACTAAACAATATTTCTCTGTCACTTGTGTAAATAATTAGGTTTGAAATTGTCATTTCCCCAAACAACCCAAAACAAACAGCATTTCAAATAAAACAACACATTTTTATTGTTTTTTTTCTTTCTTTTTATATGGACAGATAGATGATTACCTACCATTCCCTAAACTTTACTCTTTTTTTAACAGTTCTGAAAAAAATGGAAGATTAAAGTAAGAAAGACAACTCTTATTGTTATCGACGATCGTAATTTATAAATTAACCGAGTGAACACTGTTAAAAACTGGATTTTTATGTTTTCTTTCTGTTTATCTAGAGATGATTAATAATCCCTAAATTTTACTTTTTTTGTATGTACACATTCATAATGTGAACGTATTATGCCGTCACCCCTGTGTGATTGTGTATGTGAATGGGTGTATGTGTGCCTATGGGTCGCCTCCAGGGCACAATTCTTAATGGATTGTCTTGAAACTTTGAACACTTATTCCTCATACCATAAGGATGGTCCCTATAGTGTTTTGGTGCATGCCCATCCCACCCAGGGGCAGAGTCATGCCCATTTCTTGTATTTATTTGTCGTCTACACTAGGCTACAGGCCACATTTCTTAACGCATTAATTTGAAACTTATTCTTTGTACGCTAAGGAACATCCCTATTGTTTGTGGTGCATGCCCAACCCCCAGGGGCAGAACCCCGCCCATTTTCTTTTTGTGTGTCGCCTACAGGCTAGAATTCTTAATCGAGTGTCTCGAAAAAAAAATGGTCCCAGTGGTTTTTGGGGCATGCCCGACCCCCAGTGGCAGAACCACACCCATTTCTTGTATTTGTTTGTTTGTCATCTACAGGCCGCATTTCTTAACTTATCTTGAAACTTTGCATACTTATCCCTTATACCCCAAGGAACATCCCTATTGTTTGTGGTGCATGCCTAACTCCAAGGGGCAGAGCCACGCCCATTTCTTTTTGTTTCTTAATCGATATTTTGAAAACTTTCCATACTTATTCCTTACCCACTAAGGATGACCTCTATTATTTTTGGTGCATGCCCGACCCAGTGTGTCTGTGTGTTGCCTACAAGCGATGATTCATAATGGATCGTTTTAGAACTTGGCATATGTATTCATTATAGCCTAAGGACGACAACTGCATTTTCTGACCCCCAGGGGCAGAGCCTCGCCCAATGTTTGTGTTTATCGTACACAGGCTACAATTCTGAATGGATCAGCTTGTAACTTGCATATTTATTCCTTATATTGTAAAGACAGCAACTATTTATTTTCGTGCATGCCCTGACCCTTTGGGGTGGTGTCACACCCACTTTTTTGTTAATATTTAGTCTCAAAATTTGGCAAAACAAACCCGACGCCAAGCCTTCTTTGCCTCTTGTCATATTACAGTCATTGCAGCCATTTCATATTTCATTCTCTTCATTTTAAAAAGTACCACATCAATCAAAGCAGGAATGTGGACGTATATTGCAGTGTTAGCAATGCTCTCGTTTTTAATAGTTTTGAAAAGAAAACGGAAATAAATGAATCCAGTAAGAGTTGTCTTTCTTGCTTTATTGTTTTATTCAGAATACACTTTGTTTTGGGTAAATAAATGAATCCAGTAAGAGTTGTCTTTCTTGCTTTATTGTTTTATTCAGAATACACTTTGTTTTGGGTAAATCTATGGACCCGTCATTTTTGGGTAAACATTGCTGCACTAGAACTAATGGCAGACATTGATGGATATTTTTTGTAAAATGGAACTGATGACTAAATTGTAAATTTTTAGTAGGGTGGTCAATGAAGGCTTATTAGTTCATTTAGTCGATTTGATTATTTTTCTGCAGTTATTAACAGCTTAAAAATAATACATTACCAGCCGTTGTAACTGTGTCCAAAAAATTGTTAGTCTTTAGCCAATAGTTATTATAATAAGTGTGTGTCTCTGTATGTGGAGTGGTTTCCAATATGAATATTTTATTGTAATTATTATTTCCATAAAATCCTGTGGTCATGTAATGGAAAAATGCTAAGTTCTAAACACTTTCTACAATTTTAATGGAATTGTTATTTGTTAACATTATGTAGCAATTTCCCTTTTTTTTTTACTCTATAACCGTTACACAGAATGTAACATCTGAGTTGCCAATATGTTAAAGATGAAAAAGTTTAGCATTTCATTTTCAGGTTGTGCATGATTGAAATCAATTTAAATTGAATAAAATAAGATATGAAACAACTGAAAATGCTGGAATGGCCTTTCAATATACTGCAGCTGTGAACATTTTCATTTTCATTAAAAATCTTTTTCTTTGTAGGTGTAGAGTGACTACAGCTTTGGAATCTAAGACTTGGAAATGAAAACAGTGACCTGTATACACTTTTAAAAGGATATCAACAATAACAATCAATAGTTATTGTATAAACAAGTTCATCATTTGCCCAAGATTAGTCATCTCACACAATGAAACCTTCAAATAAATATTGTTCTTTAGCTAAAGCTAATCAAGAACTTGTTAGATTTTACAGGTTTGTAATCTTTTTTTTTATTTGAAGATTAAGTCAAGAATTATTTTGAAGAAGCAAACTTCAAATTGATATAATTCTTTGATGGAAGGTTGACACGCTGCTGTACATTGCAGAGTTATTGATCAATTTTGCCTTTCATTGGGTTACATTCATTGTTTACTGAATTCGAATGAATTTTTAAGGCTGATTTTAAATACAACTCTGTTTTACTAAAGCCCTGTTTACACTTGGCCGCGTTAAGTATGCTGTTCTCGGCATGGTACCAGACTGCGATGAATTTCAAGAAATTGACCTGTTTACATTACTCTAAAAAAAAAAGTGCCACGACAATTTCAGTCCCTATGCACATTACCGAGATGAAAACAATTATGGTTGTTGATTTAGTTTGGGCAGCCATTTTGACAGAACTGATGACAACTGTCAAAGTTTGCGGGGGGAAAGGGTCAAGGTTCCTTTGGCGCATGCGCAGCAATCGGTACCGAGAACTGTTCTTACTTCTCAGACCGGATAGCGTTTACACTACGGAAATTTAACCGTGCCTGGCATCGTGCTGAACCCACCTCATTTCAGTGAGCCAAATTGGCACGGTACTCAGTATGGCACGCTTCTGTTTGACCTGTTTACACTACAAAAAAAATTAACCGTGCTGTGCCTGGTACCATACCTGACACGCTTGAAATTTGTAATGTAAACAGGATTATAGTTACAGAAAAATACAGTTAATATCCAAAATTTATGTTGACAAAAATGTATTTGCAGCAATTGGTAGGGACTGGTAGGAGACATGTATTGCTTCAGATTTATTTTTAATAATTAAAAATGTATTTTGATATACTTTTCAGATCAAGAAACAGCACAGAGAATCTCAAATATGAAGGTTTAAAAATTTATAATATTGTTTGATGAATCATTTATATACCGAGTTAGATTAGCTTACCTTCATTCTAATTAATCTGCATATAAATGCATGACCAAATCAAGAGTTAAAGTATATGAAATGTAATAGGGTTTCTGCACCTTCAGCAATAATGAAGACAGCACTATTTCTGCCTACCAAATGTTAATGGTTCTTTTATGTGCACTTGAGACCTGTTTATATCTGTTCTATCCAAATGAGTATAAACATTGTTTGTTCTCGGGCCCATCTTCTTTAACATACATTATGCAAGAGCTAAATCTGCCTATTGCAAAGCTTTCTTTAGGCCTGAAATGTTATCTAAATTATTGATTAAACATAATCAACTCTCAATGCCATCGCTAGCCTGCAATATTTAATGGATTAGAATACATTTTTTGAAATTTTTTTTATCTAATCTCCCATAATGCCCCTTTTATGACAACGGAAAACCAAGTTGGAAAATACCGAGAAATTTCTTAGCCAACACTGGGACTGAACTCAGGGAAATCTTGGTTAGGAAACCAGTAGTTATTCATGAGTCACTGTAGCATAATAATATCTGTGGGATGATAAGAAAATTCATTAAATTATAATATACAACATTGAATTGCCCATTAACTTCTTAAAGAGAAGACATAAAAAAAACATCTGGTAATGTGCAGTTGTCAAATGCAAGTTCAAATAGTTCGGCTGCATAGTATATGTTATGTATTTTTTCTTATCATACTAATACTTTTCTAATGCAATATAAACCCACT